ATATGAGGACAGGATTAAGAGGATAAGCTTGAAGATCCTTTTGAGCATCCTTTAATGCAATTCTAGCTCTTTGAACTTGCTCCCTTATATTGTAAAAATGTTTTTTGTTTAAAACCTTCAGAGACTCCCTCAGCAGTTTAAGTTTTTTGTAGACTGAAAACATTTTGTATCCTCCAATGGTTTCCTTCCAGATATCTAAAACTGTGGGGGAGAAACTAGGGTATTTAATCCATATTTTAAAGAATTTAAAGGGCTTTTCCCCTTGCATACAGTCTTCATAGATTGAAATTAGAGCAGGAGAATGATCTGAGAAGCTTGGAAGAAGGAATTCAGCATGACTTGCATTAAATCTATTGATCCACGTATCATTAACCAATGGCCTATCAAGCTTACTCCAAACTCTAGTATCAGATTCTTGTTTATTATTCCAAGTGAAGAAATAACCCACAATTTTCAAATGATTGAGCATACAATCCTCATTGAAGTTCCTGAAATCCCTTGTATCAGCCTCAGATAAAGCTGGTCCCCTAATTTTTTCCTCACTGCTAATCATAGTATTAAAATCTCCACAGAGAAGCCATTGTGAGTTTCCAATGCTTTAGTGAACCTGAATGAGTTCCAGCCAAAGATCTTTTCTAGCCTCCATTTGATTAAAACCATAGACTAAAGATATGACACAATTTAACCTCCCATCTACAGACCTTACTTTGTATGAGATGTGTTGATCAGTGGACATTATTGTTTGTATTTCCAAAATATCAGGGCCCCACATGACTAGAATCCCGGCTTTCCAAAATACCAGAGTTCCTAGCATTAGATATCCAACTCCACTTGTTTGAAATATTCTTAGTAGAGGCATGTAGCATAACATCTTTTATTTTGGTTTCAAGCAGAGCAATAAATGAGAATTTATATTGAAACAAGTGATGCTTGACCAAAAATTGCTTAGAGGATTTATCCAATTCTCTAACATTCCAAAATGTCAGATTCGTTTAGTTTTGATCCCCTCTACCAATTGTAGAAGGGTCCAAATCTTCTGAAAAATCTAAGGGCAAAAAGAATTAACTAGAGAAGAAGTCCTTTTTGAATTTTTACCCTTAACCAGCAACCAGTGTTTATTCACATTTCTAGCACCCCCAGATCTGTGAACAATATGTGAAGACCTTATCTCAGCTGTTTTTCCAGGTATTGAATCTTGCTGCAAAGTCTCTTTACTATCCTTTGAGGCTGATTCCTGAACGTGCACAACATGCACAGGCTCTTGAATTATGCTAGCAGATACATTTATTTTTTAAAAAAGCCTAACATCCATAGGAAGCTGATTTGAACTGCTACAATTATCAGAGTTCATAATATCCATAGTATCCTTACCAGTATCCCCATTCTGATTTGGCATCTCTTTTGCTTATATCTGAGATGGATTACCACTATTACCAGAGTTCTCATTCCCTCTAGAAACAAACACCTGAACAAGTGCAGCCTGCAATCGCAACTACGTTGGGTTACAATTGCCAGTAAATACTGGTAACATAGTAACAGGTGATGTATCACTTTTTTCACCAACACCAGGAATAATATCCTTCAAAATCATAGTATTCTTTTCTTTAGCATCATTAGTAGCATTTTGTTTAGGAATCCATTTTTGAACTCTTGGTTGCCTCTTGCAAAAATTTGAGTCATGGTCTACTTGTTTACAATAGTCACACTATCTTGGCTTAAACTCATAATTCACTCTTTGAGTATAATGTGCACCATTTGAACCTTGAATAGAGATACGATCACGAAGAGGAGCAGGCAAAGTCATCTCAACAAGGACTCTGGCATAGGCAAGCCTCGGTCTGCTAGTAGTGAGTTTGTCAGTGGTAACTAGCCTTCCAATAACACTAACAATTTTACTAATACTCTTTGCATTCCATAAGTTCAATTTTAAACCTGGTAATTGGATCCACATAGGGTAGATACATTCATTTATTCTATCAACATCCTCATTGATTGTCCAAGGCTTCAACAACAATGATCTAGAGCCAAAAAACCACGGACCCCTTTCAAGAATATCACACATTTCATCTTTATTTTTAAATTTGAACAAGAAAACTCCAGTTTTAAGAAGGCAAACTTCTGGAATAGCAATGGAGCCCAAACTTTCTGCACAAAAGTTTCCATCACTTTGAATTTGACATTTAGACCCAGAACGTGGCCAATTAATGAAAATTGCCATATAGAAATACCTTCATTCCACTTATCATCCTCAAAAGACACAATATCTTTTGTAGTTGGTGGCCAATAATCCAACTCATAGCCATTTTCTGGCTTCCTATTGTCAGCAACAAAACTGACCCAACTTTTCTTAACATTGCCATCAGAAATCACTACAGGTTTATCAATAGCAGGTTTAAACTGTGGAAATTCAGTTGATCTTAGATTATTTTGAAGAGGCAAAACATCAGGATCCCCTACAAGAGATTCCTCAACAGTTTTCAATGAAACATCGGAGCCAAACACAGAACGTGGATCTGAATTCAAATTACAAGAAATAGACTTCAATGGAACAGTGATCGTATCAGAACCAGACACATGAATTGGATCTAAAATCATATTTTTAGCTAATTCATTTGAAAAATGCTTCTGAGATAAAGTATTTGCCAAATTATCCACCAAGTCAACCTCATCCGCCCAAGAACCACCACTAGAACAACCAGCACCATTACCAGAGGTCAGAGTCTTACCCAAGATCGGCGACTTGCAGAGATGGTGGGATTGAACGCCGATCATCATAGGAGAGACTCGAGAAAGATGAGAATCACCAAGAAAATTCGTAGAACTAAGAATCTCTATCGTCGGTTTCTTTTTCTTCTCACCCTTTGGACCCGTTGACCCCATCGCAATACATGAATCTTCATCATCTTCAATGAATCCTATAATCAGATTGATCCTCAAGAACTAGTGAACTAGGATTTAAAGATCTCAATCCAATTTCTAAGATTTTTTTTTCTCACTTTTTTTCTTCTTCTTAGCCATTTGAGAACTAAGCGGGGGCGCAATTTACCAGTGAAGAAATCGCCCTCTAACCTGCGCCATTAGGACTGCTCCTTAGCTTTTTTTCACACGGCAAGTTTAAAGCAGATATATTCAATGTAACAATATAGTATGGAAGAGTAAACTAAAAGAAGTATCAATAGAGAAAGAATCTAAAAAAATAGCATATAAACAATTTTTATACCTCAAATAAAGCTGGAAATACAAGGTCAAGCCTGCTATTATCAACATTATTGTAGGTTTATTGGAGGTGTATACCCCTCCCATTATCACTGGGTTTTAAGGGATGAGTTTTCTATGTTAGGTCTTATGTTTATGAGACTACTATCTTATCTAGTTTTGATGATTAACAAATAATTCCTAACAATGTTATCGAGTGTTTATATTTGTTTGTTAGGTATTCTACACAAAGATGTTAGTTAGAGGTTGGATGGATTGCACCTTAATGATGATATTCAATGGAGGTTGGCGGAATATCGGAATGAAACCATTTGCAATTCAAAGTCAAATTCAAGATCAAGCTTCATCCGCAACCAAGTTGAGCTATATTGAAAACCTATAGCTTGGGTATATTAGTTTAGGAATTTATACTTTGTGTGTTAATGCTTAAAGCTCAATTATTATACACATACACGTTTTGGTTTTTATAGCTTTCAAGTTTAAATAAATATGAAACAAATATACTTGTTTATATACATACATACACATTTCATATTTATCATTTTTGTTTTTTGAAAATAATGTGTTTAGCCACATAAATATGAAACAAATGAATATAAATTGTATACACTCATATTCGTTTCATGTTTATATGCGCTTTATATGATTTCATTGAGATCAAGATGAAATCATGTTTATTGTTTTGAAAGATTGCAAAATATGTGTATTTTTTATAAAACATTATGTTATTAATTTATAGACTAAATAATCTTAGTTTACATATTTTATTTAGTCTCTAAATCTATACAAGAGTTTTTAAAACTTTTTTTAAGTTAAAATATCAAAAACAAGTGTATTGACATTTCGTATTTTGACCTAGTTTGCAAAATGATAAGTTTTCACAATTAGGAAGTGCAATTTAAAAAAAAAATTGTAACATGTTTATTTTCATGTTTATAAACATTTCCCCAAGTTTTATATTTTTTTGTAATTTGTTTGATATTTTTAAACAATGTTTAAAGTTAAAATTTATTGCGCATTTCAGGTCCTGTGCACGTTTAAGTCGACTCATAAGTCGATTTATTAGTTGCCTTATGATATGTTATGCAGTTAGATATTTTCGTCTGCTGAGTCAACTTACAACTCATATAAATCGACTCTTGAAGACATAAGTCAACTTATACCTGTCATAAGTCAACTTATAATATGACTGTTGCACAGAAACGGCTATTTTCCAAATTTTTGTTGTTTTGAGTTTTTTGTTGGTTTTAGTTGGTTTTTTGGTGTTTGTTTTGTGAACCTATATATACCCTTTACTCTCAAACTTCTGAGGGTACTCAAGAAAAGTTTTAAATAAGTTTACAAAGGTTTTAAGGGTGTTTAAGAGTTCGTTTCAAGTTTGTTTTTGTGTGAAGAAGTTTTCACAAAGAGGAGCCTTACATTTTTGGTTTGAGGAATTCATCCTCATCCTCTCTTCTACATCTCTTTGTGATTTTGAAGAACTTTTCTAAACTCAATTATCTAGCTTGTTTATTCTTAAATTTTCATATTTACATTTGCTAGATTAATTTGAGTTAGATTTTATTATACTCATTGTTTACACAACTCACTTGAACTTTTAGTATTTTCACATATTGTATTTTTGAGTTGTGGGAGTTGTAACATTGAGAGTGAGCTTAATTGAGTTCTCATCTTATTTAGAGAACAAACACTTTTATTTATGCTTAATTGTGATATTACATTGTAATACACAAGTACACCGAGAGGAGTGTGTGGTGAGAAACGGTGTCGATTCCAAGAGGAGTGGTGTCAGTAGTAAAACCTAGGGAGAGGTGGTAAATCCAAACATTTAAGGAAGTTAGATACGTGCTAGGCTAATACTTAGGGTGTATTATGTAGTTACAAGTGTGAGAGTTGTAAGAGTTTTTGGTGAGCTAGAAAACTGATTGTGTGAGTTGTAAATGTTTTCGGTGAACGTTGAAAACCGATTGTGATAGTGAAGATTCTCCTCGTGAGTGAGGATCAGAGACATAGGTAAAGGGTGACCGAACTCCGTGATCATATTATATGTTTGAGTTTACCTTGGCGTGTCATTTGTGCTCATTGCTTATTGCATTCTATATCGTCATTGTCTCATGTGTATATCGCCCTTAGTTTAATTGCATATCCTTGCTCATATATCTTGTTGTATATCATAATTGCTAGGATATTATTAATAAGGTTTAATTTGGCATTAATATCAGATTAGATTAACATATACCCTATTCACCCCCCCCCCCTCTAGGGTAATTTTATTTGGTATCAAAGCTTGGTGCTCTTTTTTTCCCCCCCCCCCCCTCTAGGGTAATTTTATTTGGT